AACACACAAAATATCATAGTAGAAGAATAACTTCAAATCTAACAAGACAAAAATGTCAACAAAAAAACTATCTTCATGTTTTTAGCGAGAATTTTGGTTCATGTTTGCAGACCTATATTCATAAAAATATATTCAAAAAAATTGGAATAAAATTATAATGCATAATCCGCGCGTAGCGCGGATAAAGAATCTAGTTATAATTTAATAATAACCAAAAATGTAATAGATGTCAAAGAATTATATTAAATAATTTATACCACTAATAATGCTTCTAGTCACATCCAAATGTTAAAACAAAAAAAAGAAAAGTCTATGAGCACTTGTCTGAATTCTTTCTTTTTCTTTATTACAAAGCGAAGAGAGAGAAAACAAATCGGGGAATCTGAATCGTCTCCTCAATAAACAAATACACACACTTGTATCTTCTTCACTCGACACACACAAATCCATATATATAAACATTTATTTCTATCACTCTCATCAATCTCTCTCTCTCTCCCCTTTAAGTTCTTGACTTGTCGTTTTGATTCTCTTTTATGTAGAGAGCCCCTAGATCTTTAAAGCTAAGCTCACCAAGCTTCCATTTTTGAGATCTGGGCTCGGACAAAGATTCTATTTTTAACCCACCCATCTCCAGTTCTGCTGGAATCAAATAGGTACTGTAATAATAATAACTCTAGTTTTGTTCCTCTGATTAAAATGCTTTACTCTTTTTCCGTAAAAATCGAATTTGATAGTTTGCTAATTACTTCTACTTTCTGGTTAGTGTATTAGCTTGTGGAGCAGAAAGAATCACGAGGAAGGAAGTCTTGATTACGTCGTACGTTGTGAGGTGAGAATCTCTTGTAAGCTATTCACAATAACAACGTGCACTTGCTCCCTTACAACATGGCTACACCAAAACGTGTGGGGACTTTCTATTTAATTCATGCTTCTTGTTGCTTGTTTCTGAAGATAGTTTCCGTTTAAGTAATAAAGATTCATGCTTTGTTTCTAAATTAACTTCATTTCCATCTTCAGGTTTTAGCTCAAATGTGTAAAAGAAGTTAAATAAACATACAAAATTTTGCTTTCAATGGGGGAGACACAGAACTTGCACTTACCTCTGCGTAACCGCTCTTCACTCAAGAAGCCTTTACTGATTCTTCTATTAATCTGCATCACAAGCGTGCTCTTGGTTTGTACTTACATGTATCCACAACATAACGTTAAAACCCCTGCTTGTGAGGGTTTATCCAGCAGCAGCTGCAAAGCTGCGCTCTCAGGATGGCTTGATGTTCACGTGAGGAAACACACAGACGAGGAAGTAGCAGCACGTGTTGTGATCAGAGACATACTTAGAACTCCTCCTGCTCTGACCTCTAAATCTAAGATAGCTTTCATGTTCTTGACTCCTGGGACCTTGCCGTTTGAGAAGCTATGGGATAAGTTTTTCCAGGGTCAAGAAGGGAGGTTCAGTATTTACATACATCCATCGAGGTTAAGACCAGTTCACATCAGCCGTCACTTTTCAGACCGGGAGATTCATAGTGATCAGGTTACTTGGGGAAGGATCTCTATGGTTGATGCTGAGAGACGGCTTCTAGCTAATGCTCTTGAGGATCCTGATAACCAACACTTTGTTCTTCTTTCAGAGAGGTGAGTTTATGAACTTGTCGCAACATCACTTTGTTTCTCGGTTGCATTCTACTTACGGATCTCTGTCTCTTTGTGACTTTGCAGTTGCATACCGTTGCATACGTTTGACTATACCTATAGGTATTTGATGTTGGGGAATGTCAGCTTCATTGACAGGTGAAATAGATTGACTCTTAGATGCCTTCTACCTTTAGATTTTTTATTTCTCTCCATTAATATTTTGATTCTCTCTTTGTGAAGTTTTGAGGATCGTGGTCCGCATGGGACAGGCAGACACATGGATCATATGTTACCTGAAATCCCAAGGCAAGATTTTAGAAAGGGTGCTCAGGTAAAACTTCTCTTTTTTTACTTAATCTCTGAGTTGTAGATTGTTTTCTTTGGTTATAAAAATGTTTTAAGATATGTATAGATAGAGTGTGCTAGAAGGATGTTGTTGTATAACTCCTAGTTTCTTCTTTTTGGTGCAGTGGTTCACAATGAAGCGTCAACACGCGTTGATAGTGATGGCTGATAATCTTTACTACTCGAAATTCCGTCAGTTCTGCAGAGTAAGTTTTGCATATTGTAGCCTAAGTTTTAAATGATTTAGCTCTGTAAGCATAGTTTTTGATCTTAAGTTGAGTCCTGAGGTTTTAAACTCGAGAAAAGTATCGGTTTTGACTTGATGAGTCTTAACAAAATTTGCAGCCTGGGGTAGAAGCAAATAAGAACTGCATCGCGGATGAACATTACCTTCCTACATTCTTCTATGTGAGTAGATCTATTAATGCAACTCTCTTTCTCTTATACAACTTTGATTCTAGTCCTCCTTAATGATATGTTATTATTAAAAGATGCTTGATCCGGGAGGAATCTCGAACTGGTCAGTTACATATGTTGATTGGTCTGAGCGTAGATGGCATCCAAAGACGTATAGAGCTCGTGATATCTCACTTAAGTTCTTGAAAAACATCACTGTAATGTCACTAACACCACTCCTCTCTTTAGTTTCTTCCCTGCTTTTATTTGATATATGTACTTTCCTTTCCCTCCTCGGTTTCTTGCAGTCTGATGACATGAGTGTACACGTGACAAGCGTTGGCAAGGTACTTTGCTCGTTTACTGTATTCCAAAACACTGAAACTGTGAAGTGTTGTTTCTCTCTTCATTTATCTTCTGTTTTGTTTTTTCTTTAGCGGGGAGAAGAGCTTCATTGGCCATGTACATGGAACGGTATAAGAAGACCATGTTATCTATTCGCAAGGAAATTTCACTCAGATTCTGTTAACAAACTTGTCAGACTCTTCCCAAACTACACCAGCACAGTGGTCTAAAAGAGACAGAGAGACAAAGACATACTCAAGTTCTTGAAACTGAACCCATACGATTCTTGAAACAGGAACGAAACACTTCCTGACTATCTCGAGATTGCATTGGATGGCAGATTACTGTACATTGAATCTGAAAATGCTTTTTGATGAGACAAGCTACTCTGCTGGTTAAGCTTTATTAGTATAACCAGAGATTTTTTTTGGTTAAGGATTTGGTTATTGTGATGTTTAGCCATGGTTTGGTTAGAGTGTACCGGTTTATGTTGTTGTAACTTTAGCTATTAAGCACAAAGAATTGAATACTTGAATACTTTTACTATGTTATGTGTCATTTAAGACCATATTTTTTTTTTCTAACCGAGTATCTTGATTCCTTCCAGATTCCTTCCAGATGGTCCCGGCTAGAAACCGAAATAAGTAAGGATACTCCGGATAAAAAAAAATGGATAAAAAATGGTTTCTTTTTTTTTGTCGTGAATCCAAATATTGTAAATAGTCCTTCCCAATGTGAATTGAATCCAAGTGGCGAAAAACACGTTTACCACTAGGCTAACTCAAAATCACGTTTACCACTAGGCTAACTCAGCGTTGTTTTTTTTTGTTATGATAGTTAATGTTATTTTTTTTTTGGGTAAAAACAAATCATCTTCAAGTTAATGTTATTATTTTTAAAACATTATCTCTTTATAAATCAATGACAAATATTTGCATGCATATAAAAACAAGAGTTTTGCTTCATCATCATATCACTTAGGGCCTGTTCGTTTGTACATCTGGATGATGCATCCAACTGATCCACCTAGATGTCTTATCCAGCTAGTCCACCTAGGTGTTGTTCGTTTGTACATTTACAAAATGCATCTAGATGAAGCATTCAGATGTAACTGTGTTCGTTTGTTCATTTGTTTTTAACTTACATTTACATTCAGATGTATTTGATGACAAAATGACTAAAATGGACATATTTTTTTTAATATAACTATATTTTACTCTTAATTCATGTTTATTATTTATATATTCATCCTATTAATTTTAATATATTATCAAATTTATTGTTACATCAAAATAGTTTTCAAATTATTATTTGATGGTAAACTTTGACATAAAAACAATAATAATTTCTCATAACTTTAATAAACTCAAACAATATATTTAAATTTCAAACAATATTCAAATAAAATAAAACTCAATATCAATGTGCTTAACCAAGATCAAATAAGCTCAATATCAATGTGCTTAACCAAGATCATAACCACCTTCATGTCATCATCTTTTTGAGTAGAATAGACCCTTCTGAAAGAAGCTGAAATGCCTGCAATGCCACACGAATTTAACACCAATGCCTGCAAGCATGTAGTGCCACACGAATCAGAAAAGCAAGCATGTAAAAACAAATCAAAGGCTCTACTAACCATAAGCACCACTCATGATCAAAACAAAAGAAACTCAAGTCCATTACGAATTAACAGAGCTAAATGTAAAAAATAAAAACTTTGGGTAGCAATTCGATTACACCTACCTTGAATGCAATCCAAACCAAACACTCAAAAAGAATTTCGAACAAGGAAACCAAACAATGCAATCCAAACCAAACACTGAGACTTTGCATAACTTTACACCAATGCCTGCAATGCCACACGAATAGTACACAAAACACTCAGATCATGATAATACTCCTTGGTAGATACTAATGATAATACTCCACAAAGGTATAATACTCCACAAAGATAATACTTCAAGTAATAGCCTAACCAAAATACCAAAACAGAAGAAACTCAATGTGAATACTCCACAAAGGTATAATCATTATCTCAATAGCATTAAACAACTTACCTTTAGTATGGAAGTCGACGTCCTCTCGCTATCTCCTCAGTAATGGAATCTCGCATAGCTTCCATAACACTATCTCTAGCTGGTATATATGCAACATGCTCATCCCCGTGATGTACATACTCGTCCACTCTTTCCCAATGTTCAAAATCATGATCCCCATGATTTGAATCTCTGATAAAATTGTGGAGGGCCATTGTTGCTGTCACAATCTTCATCCATTTTAACAGCTCATACTTAGGGTGCTTGCGGTCAAGAATCCTCCATTTAGCCTTCCATATTCCAAACGTTCTCTCAATTACTGAACGCANTGATGTACATACTCGTCCACTCTTTCCCAATGTTCAAAATCATGATCCCCATGATTTGAATCTCTGATAAAATTGTGGAGGGCCATTGTTGCTGTCACAATCTTCATCCATTTTAACAGCTCATACTTAGGGTGCTTGCGGTCAAGAATCCTCCATTTAGCCTTCCATATTCCAAACGTTCTCTCAATTACTGAACGCAAACCAGAATGCCTTCGGTTGAATAACTCTCTGCTGTTTGTCGGTCCTCCTCCTCTAGCAAACAGATCAAGGTGATATCTAGCTCTAGGGTGAGGTCCTAAGTAACCAGATCTAGTTGGGTATCCAGAGTCTACTAAATAATACTTCCCAACTGGAGGATGAGGAAAAGAAGCTTCTTCCTTAGCACAATATGTCAGCACTTTTGTATCATGCGCCCTCCCAGGAACTCCAACATAAGCATATATGAATTTCATACTGAAATTACATATAGCTAAGACATTCATAGTTGCTTCTGCTTTTCTACCTATGAATGGTTCGACATTCTCAGAAGGAGGACGAACCGGTACGTGAGTCCCATCTAAAGCACCTATGCAATCCTTAAAAAAAGGGTAATAATTCGGATCATCTACTAAAACAGGACTAGCACTTGCAAACTCATCTCTTCCAGGTTTCACAATATCTGCTGCGAGTTTCAACAAAGAACTTAAAACCTCATCTAGTTTCCTATTCACTGTGTCAAGTGAACGCTGGTATCTCTCAGCTAAAGCCCGTGCGGTTAAATCATGTCCTACCATCTCTAAAAACATAGCTACCATCTCCTCTAAGTAAACATGACAAGACCCTTCTAGCTGATACTTCTCTGATAGTATCTTACATAAGCTCTTAAAAGTTGCTTGGTTCATGCGAAGGATGTCGTAGCATTGTACCTCAGATTCGTTCATGAAACGTTTCACACGACGCAAACCTTCTCCTCGGTTTGTCCTCACTAATTGTTTGCCAGTTTTAGCTTCTGTCCCTCCGTACACTTCTTCTATAAGAGCAAACATGTGTTCCTCCTCATCTAGTATCAAATCCATCTCGTCATCTTCAACTAAGAACCTAAACGTGTCCTGAAAACCACATAGAGATACATCATCAATCATTGTTCTGTATGAATTGACACAAACCTAAATAGTCTTGAAGTAACAAAAGTAAGCTCGCTC